GTTAAAAAATATATATATATACAGTATATGAAAAAGTGCACAGTACATTTGGAAAAGTACAATGTACACTTGTCCAAATAAATAGTTAATTTTAGTTAAGAGTCTAGGGGGGAATGATATACTGTATTATATGAATACATTTTTAACATGCTGACTCAGTGTGTGAAACAACACTTTTTGTACTGTAAATATTTGTTGTTTTATATGAAAACTGACACATTTTTACACAAGAATAACCATTTTATTTGATTTTTTTTATTATGCCTACAGAAGTTTGAATAAATAAAATAGCAAGGCAATTTTACTTTCGCTGTGACTGCAGTCATTCCTTATAAAAAAAAAAAAAAGAAGGAGGACCAGAACATACTCAGAAATGCTGCATCTGTCAACACCCATTGATTACATCTGGTTTATCAGTAACTTTGGAACACGGTAGCAAATAAACAAGAAGTGATTGGCTATGTAGAGGAAGGTCTATTCTAGTCTCCTGACCTCTGATAGACACATTTTGTGAGACACTGTCCTGGCTCTTTCGCTGTCTTTATCCAGGGAAAAGGACTTGCCGGTAATATTTTAAATTCTAGCAATATCCTGAATAATATTAGTCTGTAAAAAATGTCAGCAGAATTCATGAGATTCAAACCTCTTTTCACTAGTGTTGTTTTGCATTTATTCCTCTGTTTGTTTATTTGTTTGTTTTATTGTTTTTACAGCTTATATTGACTCCCTGTTACACCAATTTCCAAACCATCAATTAGAATAATCATACAGATTACTTTGAATTTCCAACTTGTGGTGTTCTTCAGACAGGCGCAACATAACATTTGACCAGGAAGGTTTTTTCTGAATTCACAGCTGCTGTTTCTGAGTTTAGTTTTTCAACTAAATCTATTGTTTTATTGTTCAGGAATTACTTGCTAAATCCTGCAAACTAGAATCAAAATGAAATGGTGTAGATTGTCTCAGACAAAGGAAGTGAGAGCAATGAGCTGACGGCATGAAAAGGAAGTTCTTTACATCAGTCAATGACATGAAGCTGGAAAAAACACTATGATGAAATTGCAGTCACCAAAAAATAGCCATATAATATAATAT